TTCTTTCGCCTCGCCGCGCCCCGCTTCACGTGCCCAATCCTCGCCCGAGCTGCCCTCCTAACCGGCAGCTCCTCTGACCAATAGAACCTCGCATGCCAAGCCCAAGTCCCGCCCACCCCACCCCCCAGTCTCTGGTCCTTTCCCTTCACCAGAAACCGGAGAGGTGGATGTGGCTGCGGTCGGAGGACCCCCGAAGGGTCTGAGCTGGGGAGGAGGGGTGGCTGCTTCTACCTCCCCATACAGGTCTTAGGGGCCTGGGTCAGCTTGTTTTGATGCACTGGGTTGAGGTAGAAGGGAAGCCATGGGAACAGCCTCTCTCCCCTTTTGATTAAGGGGGGGGGGGCATAGGTAGCGAGCGCCCTCCTCAGGGCGCTGTCGCTTCGGCTGGGTGGTACTGCCCCGGCTCCTTCAACTGGGCTGTCTGATCTCTTCCCTTAGGTATTCCCTACCTTCCCTCCTCGCGAGGCCGCCCCAGAGGGTAGCAGCAGGCGCATTTTTGCTCTGCCTGTGGTGGGGTGCTGGCAGGGCCTGGGTCTTCCTGAAGGTCACAATCCACCTCCTTGGGGGCCCTTGCTCTGGAGACCACAAGACCCTCATATATGTCCCTGAGGCCTAGTTTTCCGGCCTGATTCTCTCTTGTTGAGTTCTGTGGGGAGAGGTCCTGGGGTTCTGGTCCCTGGGTGGCTCCTCTTGTGCTCTTCATCCCCACCAACACACCCTAATCCCACACTTGGGTGGGTGATGGATGGCCGGTCCCTGGGGAAATGCTGGAAATTGGATGGGTTGGTCTTCCTGGGCTCAGGCAGTGAACAGGGCCTCCTGAGTGGAGGGAGGCCCAAAAGGGTTGGCACAGCCTCCAGCCCAGTCCCAGGCCCTGGTTGAGGTGGGTTTTCATTGTTAAATGCTTCCTGCCATTCCTGTCCCAGCTGTCCCCACTCCCAGCTGCAAGCTATCAGGCTGAGTTCTGCACATTTCTGTCTGTCTGTCCGTTCTCTCCTCAGTGCTCACAAAGTCTCTGTCCTGTATTTCAGACTTTCCAGGGTTTATCTGCAGGTTCTGCGCCCAGCTTGTTCTGGGCTGTATCTGCCTTATAGGACAAAGTCCACCCTTCTCCAGGCCTGCTCTCTGGCTCCCCAACACAGGAGTCTTCAGCTTCTTAACTGGGCCTTGAAGGGGGTAGGATGATGAGAGAAGCCCCTACAAATCTTTTTTTTTTTTTTTTAAATATATCTTTATTGATTTCAGAGAGGAAAGGAGAGGGAGAGAGGGAGAGAGAGATAGAAACATCAATGATGAGAGAGTCACTGATTAAGCCCACAACCCGGGCATGTGCCCCGACCGGGAATCGAACCCCGATTGCCTGGATCCTAGGTCGATGGATGCTCAACCGCTGAGCTATGCCCAGCCAGGCACCCCTACAAATCTTTTGCTGAAGATTTTCAGCAAAATCTTCAGAATTTGTCCCTGGAGTCACCTCTGTGCTCCTCACAGACCACAAACACAACTCCAAGGACCCACTGCTGTCAGGGTTGGTGTGTGTGCACATGAGCGTGCAGTTCATTCCACATAGGCTGTTCCAGAATTCCCTTGGGCTGCAGCTCCTGCCATCAGCTTTTCTCAGCTGCCCCACAATCCTTGCTTCCTCATGCCCTCCTGGAGGCCTGTGGGCTGCCTGTCTTTATTCCCTGTTTGCCACTGTACACATGCAGACTGGTACCCCTCTGACACAGTGCCCATGTACATTGTCTCAGCAGGGTCTCTTTTGCTCCCTCAGATCTGATCTTTACTCTCTCACAGCCTGAACTGACTGGCTCAACCTCTCCACTCTCCCTTTTTTCAGCTCCTAGAATTGGTCCCACTTCTTCCTACAAGGCCTCCTGAGTCAGCCTTTATCTGACATCCAAGGAACAGCCAGCTCACCAGTAGTTAAGGACAGGCCCTATAGAGACTGAGTTGTACTGGCAGAAACACCAGGCACATGGACCTGAATGGCACGTGGGTCCTCCCGGCTCTGCTCCCCAGAGTCCTTCATTGATGGAAGGCCTACTGCTGGTGTCCTTTAGGACAAGATCTTCTATGCAGCACCCACAGATGTCACCACCATGGTACACTCACTCCAGGCCCAGCTGTGACCTCCTGTTGTCCTCTGGTCAGAATCAAGAACTTTGTCCTCTGCTTCAGGGTCCCCAGAACAGGTACCTTGAAAGGTCGCACTTTCCATTCTCATTCCTCACCGTACCCTGCCTCAGACACACTCTCTGGCTCACCCACCCAAGAAGCCTTTTTGGATTGATTGGAAGGGACCTAATGCTCTTTCTGACATCAGTCTTTCTAACCTCTTCCCCCACCAGCAGCAGCTGCTACATAACAACTTGGTTAAGGGCTGGGCTCTGAGTCCCCAGTACAAGATGTGTAGGATGGAAATGGGTGGAATTTTAAAGGAAAAACAGAAAAAATAACCAAAACAAATCCACAGAAAGACAACATTTGTGTTATTAAAAAAGCTGGAGACATTAAGGGAGGAGAGAGGGAGGTTATGCCTCTACAGGGTGGAGGCCAAGAAGGATAAGCGTAGTGAAACCAGAGAGGTTGAGGAGGAGGTGGGCTTTACGGAAGGACAGTGACATCCCTACCACATCTGCAAGTGTACTTTTCTGGTTGGGTTATATTTAGGGTCTGTCTTCTGTAATCGACACATTTATCTATATTAGTACCTGTGTGTCGGTTCTGGTCTGTCCATTTCCCATGGACGTATATACTCCTCTGGGACAGTGCTGGCTGGTTTAGACTCCCTTAGTTGAGAGACCCCCTGAAGCCAGGCTCCTCGTCTATCTCCATCACTCTGCAGAACGATGCCCTGTCCAGATAAGCAGTTATTCCTGAAGGCTCTTTAAGGCCAGAGCTGTAGGCCTAGACCAAGAGCTGGAGGGCCTCCATCAAGGTTTTAGCCTGTGTAGAAACATGGCCTTATTGACAAGAAAATCACTTTCACCTTAGAGATGAGCCCTTCACTGAACCCCCCTTCCTTCCCCGGGAAGACGAGTCCCACCTTTGAGGGAATATCTCCAGGCAATGCTGCTCACACACTCTTTGGCTGTTTTCATCTCCCTCTCTGAGAGTCCACAGTCTAGGAGGCAGGAGTTCCAGCCTTTGGCTTGTAAACTGTATGACTTGAGAAAGTCATTTCCGCTCTCTGGACTTCCCTTTCTTCATATTAAAATGTAGAGACTCTATTCTTTTACTTTCATTATCAGATAAAGAATGAACACTAAAGGATAAGATAACATCTCAGGGAGTGAACTTAAAAACGATGCCTAAAGTCTCTTCCAGTTCCATGACTGATTCTAAATAAACCTATCCTGTGAGTCAGATTCACTCTCTAGGTCCAGCCCTGTCTGGTTCTCCCTGATCTGTTTCTGGACTGATGGACTCAGTCTCTGTGCGCACAGCATCCATGTAAGGCCTGCGCTTCTGCATTTCAGCCCAGGAAACAAAGGGGAGGGGTGCTCAGGCTCTCAGCAATGCTTTAGAGGGGCTCCTGAAAGATGGTGAGAAAATGGACAGGATGCCAAGATGGCTGAGTTCCAGGGTCTCCCCAGTAAACATCAAGGCCAGAGATCCCAGAACCTAGGGTCACTGCACCTCCATTTCTCCAAGGGATCCCTAAAAGAGGTTGATGACAGTGCAGGTTCTTAAAACACTAAGGGTAGAGACCCAGCCTGGGCAGCTGAATGCCTGAATCTTGCTATGCCACCCCCCACCCCCCCATTGACTACCTCCATACAGGATCTCTGCTCCTTAGGTGTGCAGAGGGAGAACATATGCACCAGCCCAGCTCTCCCTCCCTCTTCTGAGGACTTTGTCCTAGAAGAGCTGGGGTGAGGAGGAATAAGGCCCAGGGAAGACAATGGAGGGAGCAGAACCCCTCCCAGGCAATAATGGGAAGTGGGGAAAGGGGGTGAGTAGAGAGAAGAGATGAACCTCACCAAGGAGATGCTGCTAAGCTGCCAGGAGGAAGACCCTCACCTTCTCAACATCTTTCCCATCACAGCAGGCCCCTTGCTAGAAGGACTTAATTGAGGAGCCTGAATGTAGGTTTTTAAGAGAAGAGAGTAGAGTTGATAAGCACAGACTAAGAGGTGCTCTGGGGCAGGAAGAGTAAGAACCAATACTGAGATGCTGCAGGATAAGGGGTCAGGGGAGGACATGTGTGAGCTGGGGCTTCTTTTCCTTGCCATGAGCTCTGCTTCCTTCCTCAATAAAGCCTTGGTCTCCCCATCAGGTCACCAATGCCAGCCTTCCCTCACCCTCACCCCTGGGTCTTCTATTCTCACCCTCCTGGCTCCTGCCTTCACCTCCCTTTGTTGCCCCCTGAGGACAGTTTTTTCTGCCCAATCCTTCCAGCACTTTCCAGTAGCTTTCTTTCTCAGTTTACCTTCTCCTGCTTCTACCAAGCCCCTTTTATGCCTCCTCCCTTTCACCCCCATCCCAAGCATCACCCCCCCACCACCACCACCACGCCCTCTCTTCCCTGCCCCT